CCAACGTTACATCCGACGACGACTCGGAGACGGAGGACGACGAAGGCGGCGCATCAGCGTGACCGTGGACTGCGACGTCCTAAACTCATCATAAGGTCATAAGATCATAAGGTCGTAGTAAGTTCTACGTAATGATATGTTTTAGCTCCAACGTCTGCAAATTGCAAGCAGGATTGATAACGTGTTTTGTTCTTTGCTCATCAATATAACAATTGAAAGAAATTCCAACATGAAATAATTTAGATGAACAATATCACAATTTCTTTAGTAATGGTGCAAGATATGTTTTAAATTAACTTAATTAATTTTTGTCCTGCTTCTAATGACAGCGATGCTGCACACCAACTTCTTAATTAACGACGTAATGGTATAATGATGTCGTACGTCGTTAAGTCTACGTAATGGTATGATGATGTCTGCCATTGATTTTGCGTCGTAATTGCTGCCATTTGAATCCATTTTAATGATATTCATTCACCATTGAGCGACTTCAGATAAAGAAACCGAAAGCTCTCTGTTATGGAAATTGAGGTGACCTCCCCCGTCTCATAAACGAATAATTAACGTGTTGAAAATATCGTCTAATTACTCTCCTACTTTTGCTCCTGCGGTCTAAATGAATTTGCTACGTTTTGAAGGTAATATCAATATTTTGTGTCTTTACATTCAAATAAAATAAAAATTATTGTTTTCAATTCTTTGTTCTGATTGTCGGCAGCTACCGCCTGCTCCGAGGACAAAAGCTTAGCAGCTGAGCGCGCGTAGTCTGGAAGTTTCCACGCGCCGGCAGGACGCCCAGAAAGCTATAATGTATTTATGAGATGAATATGAGGCGCCAATTATTCAAACCTCAACAATGTCACAGACGACAAATTTTCCACTAGAAAGAACGAGACATATCACGCAAAAAATTATTAAAATTACAGCAACAGGTGCTTATACAGGATAAATATACTACATGACAACGCACAGATGACTTTGAGAAGGAGGCGGGATTACGGCCGTAGCAATTAATGCTTTTCATTACGTAATATTCCTAGTGTTACATTAGAAACATTATGAATTCGTCTGATTTCTCGTATGCATATATACTGATATTTGCTGTTGTATTGAATACACGAATTATACACTGACAGAGGTGGAGATGGAGATGAGTACAATGCAAGCACGTGCCCTCAATCTTTGGCCAATTAAACCGGCTCCTGAATATTTTCGGAGCTTGAAAAAACTTCACTTGCCGTTTGGCTCTTGTTTATTTTCAAAATAACTGAGACAAATGTGATAAAGTAACAATACAACATTGAATCGTATTATAACATCATAATGAAAGAAATCATTGCGATGAAATTCTTGAAATGTCTCTTTACCGTCTTGTAATTCAAAGAAAATTTTATTGTGGCAGGAAAACGTCATTTAATGTCGATAAAACACTCAGTAAAGGCATGATATCTACTGATTTTGCCAGCTAATTGTTACGTACACTAACATTATTGTTAATGTACAATTTTATTATTAATACTCCATTTATATTATTAACACTCCATTTATATTATTAATTATTCATTTCAGAATTTTAGGTGAAAGTGATATTAAAATAAGCAACTTGCTCGGATTGTGCGTGTCAGTAGTAACGAAATATATAGGTGCGTCCAGCACTGAGAAGACCAAGGTACAGAGTTACGACGATCCTGCTATACGTGTGATTAGAGATGCCCTGAAGGCATTTTTAGCTTCTATAGTGTTTCACCGATAACCGAGATATATATGTTCAAATTTATTGTCAAAAATTTATTGCCGAAATGACGGAATTGCAGATTCTATGGAATCGGCCGCCAGTTTGCCGAATCTGTAGAATCAGCATTTCGTTGCTGATCGGTCGCTAGAGTTAGATTTAGGATATAAATCGACCATTAGAGTTTGAAAAGGTTAGGTCAAGTTCGGTTAATTTCCTTTATATTTAAATCTTTTAAAAAAAGCTTGCCTGACTGACCTAACCCCAAATTGCTATAGTATAGAAATGCTGATTTTACAGATTAGGCTAACTGGTTGCCGATCCCATAGAATCGGCAATTCCGCGATTTCGGCACGACAGATGCATTTCGATAGTAATTAAATTTAATGTTTTTGGGATGAATAAAGAGAGAGTTGACTACACAAATTTTGGAAGTAACTTCGTCAAGAAATCGCTGTAGTGATGAATGAATCAGTCATTTTTGTTTCAATAAAGCCAAAAGTTTTTTCAGTACTCCTGTATCAGGTTGACATTTATAGAAATGAGGCCGAAGTTATACGTAGATAAAATTTAATTCTCATTTTATTCAATTCAAAGTCCATAGCGAATTCTTAGACATCATTTGTATCAGAAACGGATGATGGATGAGTGCTGGGAAGTTCGTTGCATTTCACCACCCACGTAACCCTGCATGGTCTGACTTTTTCCATATACTCTGAGTTACGTCTTCATTGACACACTTCTGCCGACCCGTCCGCGGAAAAAACGTCGCAACTGACACGACACGAATCCCCCTCTGCGCCGACCGACTTCTGCCCGAAGCTGAATTTTCGAGATTATGTCGCCTGCTTTGAATCTAAATCTCTATATTGCTCCCACTTGGGCATTGATTTCCGCTTTTTATAAATGTGGGTCTTTGCTATAGAGACGTGACGTACTATAATTCTGAAAATTGGTTGCATCAGCTGTACTTACTCGTGTACACATTTTACGTAAGATGAGTGTACAGCAAAGTATACCTACACTTATCTGAATGATTTCCTTCGAGATAATCCTCAGATAACGTGGTATCATGAGCAGCTGCTTTATCCTCTGCTTCAGGTATCCTCAGAAGGGATCAACAGCGAGCCTTATCTCCTACTCCTAGTATCCTCAGAAAGCGTCGGCATATGACAACGGTCGTATACATTCTGGTTTGATCTGTGCTTTAAGTTTAATTACATACAAATGAATGGCTAAAAATGTACGATGTCATGACTTGTTTCGATGGTCATCTCTGCAGGGTCTGATCTCATTGAGTGCAACGGCCGCATGCTCAGTCAAAATTCTTTTTTTTTTTTCGCTCAAGAAATCACTTCCTGAACGATTTCTTTCAATTACAAATCCTTCTATAGACTGTAATATAGTAAAATGAACTGAAACATACTTGGAATCTGGTGTTCACAATCTGCATGCAGGCTTTAAATCTGGCATGTAAATTCTATCTCAAGATATTTGAAGAAGTTTTGTTCAACAAAAGGCTACTGAACGGAAGCTAAGTCTTAGAAAGTAGCTAGGACTTAATGCTGCTCGCTTGTGTCTCAGCATGTAAATTACAATAAGCGGATGTGCATCCTGAATCATAAATGAATTCCAAGCGATTCTATTGTTTGGGAATGTGACAGCGCTTTCACTCTGTGAAACGAAGCAGATGTAATTTCCAATTCAAGGCGAAGTCGATGGTTTGCTACGAGATTTCTCACATTCACTTTAATCGCTTTAGATAGCTCGAGTTATTGCTTAGTTGATATTTAGATTACCTTTGCATTGCACTGACGCAACCAATGTACAATAATGACTAAAATTATCCACCGAGTGAGTAAACTGTTTAACCATAACCAGGCAAAGACTCAAACAGCAAAGGCAAAATCAAATTTCAAATCCAATGTTGTTCAAAACGAACAGAATTTCGTTTTGGAGTTTCATCAGAATTTCGATGACCTCTAGAGTTCACGTTTCAATATACCTGAACTGCCAAGTCCGTCCTGGAACGCAAATATGAGCTATTCCTGGGGCGGCCAAACTTAATGCCATGCGCATATGTTCAGCAAGAGACATATCGGCGTGACGTATAACCTGGAATTTAATCACGCTCTCATGACGGAACTTTACGGCACCAAAACGACATGTTTGCGGTCACGGTCATGAATGGGGCTGACGTTTCGGACGTTATATGCACCGACATTAAATGACATCTACGTTTGGAAATGGGTATTTTCAACATATTAAATTCACCAAACCAGGTTAGAAGTTAGAACCCTTTGCGTTAATATATTAAGTTCACCGAGTAAATCTGATTTCACGCTGGCCTCCTGGGACCATACTTTCAAAACTCGCTAAGTGAACGTATACGTAAGTACTTACGCTCTATTTTCTTGTCTATGATTGGTGGATTTTGCTTTAAAGGCCGTCAATGATTGGCTGATGAACTTACGATCTCTTAACTTTTTTGAAAGTATAGACCCCGGTCTGTTCAAATCACGCGCTCGTATACCGCGAATTCGAGCACCCCTTGTATAGCTCATGTATATATCAGTCTAACTCTCTGACACCACAAGTATTCAACACAATTGTATAAAAAATCAGTTTAACTAAATTTGATGAAACAATTTGATTTTCGTCCAACTATGCGTTGCTGGAGCCAGGGTAGGCTCAGGCAGGAACAATCTCCTCACTTGGATTAGAGGGAAATTTTCTGGACCCTCGTTCACTCCTAACAGGGATCAGCCTGACTTTCGTTTTTATTGAATGTTGACGCATCAAGTTGCATGACCTAGGCGTAATCTAGCTAGAAAAGTCGGTCATTATATAAATTATTGCCTCTTTAATTTGAACTTCGATTATAGAATATTGGCTGGAAGCGCTTATTAGTGGAATAAAAGTGACGCCAAGAAGTTTTAACAAATTGTCTGTACATTCGTACCTGAAAAGTTTTACGGGGATCTCTTGAATATGATTAAACGCAATCAATAAAATATATTTAGTCAGGTCTTCTCCGTGCATGTCATTCAGGTAAATAGTGAATGAAAGGTTCAATTTTAAGAAAATTTTCAAGGAAGAACCTCTCCGTGCACACGTTCCTAAGATGCTCTTCACACGCTCCATCATCCGGCCAATGATCGAGCGCGGTTTTACCGCCACGAGCTGCTGCTACTTTAGCTGCGGCTACACCTGCTAGTTATATAAGGCGAGAGAACTCTCTCAAAGCCAGACCTCTAGAAGCTATCGTTCGGCACGGTTGCAGCTACTTCGTCGTGCTAGTGCGTAGTTTAGCGGTGCCTGAATATTCTATACCAGTCTTGATACTGCAACAGTATCCAATCGCGGAATTAAGCTGTTTTTATTTATAACTTTGAACTGTTTACAATTTTAAGTTAGTGCATACTACCAGTGAGAACTACAGGAAAACGGTGATTGGAAATTCTCCAAAAGAGTACGCCGTTGTTCACGATAGTCTTGCACTACCGTAAATCCCATCCCGTATAATAATCTCATAGATAGTGCTGATCATTGTGTGCACTGTGGAAGATACAGTCTTAGAACTTTTATATTAGAAGCTTTACACAAATTGCCATTTTCTACGTCGCTGTGAGGCTGTCGTGTATTACGGTGCCTACGGGATTACGGAGTTTCAAACGTATTCTTCGTGGAGCTTCAAGGCTAGCTTGTATTACGGTGCCTACAGAATTACGGAGTTAACTAACTTTTCAAGCGCATTCTTCGTTGACCTTTGAGGCTATCGTGTATTACGGTGCCTGCAAGATTACGAAGTCGACAAACGTATTCTTTTTGGAGCTTCGAGGCTATCGTGTATTACGGTGCCTACAGAATTACAGACTTAACCAACTTTTCAAGCGCATTCTTCGTGGACCTTTGAGGCTATCGTGTATTACGGTGCCTACCAACCTAAGCTGCACTCGACTAACGTTTGGAGGGAAAGAAGCAACGACAGAAGATCTAATGAGGATGATTGCCACAGACGTTCGTCACGACACGCTTAAGGCGACCAAAAATGCCTTCAGTTCAATAAATTCGGCCATCGCTGAAACTTTGGCATACAACAAAAGGTGGGGTTACATGTGATATCATCTTATAGTTTTGTGTCATAGGTTTTTCTCAGAATTTGGTCATTAATCTGACGTTTTTTTGAAAACGGTCTTCGATTCTAATTAATAATATTAAATTGTTTATTTCTAAATTGGGTCCGTAGTGGGTGGAGAAGACTTCCTGAGTCCCATTATTAATCAACAGTTTTCAACACCACTATATTTAAATTGTTTTGGGGGTTCATTTGTTTACATTTGTTTGTTTGTTTATATATATTAACCAGTTCATTTGTTTATATTTATGTAAACAATAGTTAGCTCCATCTTGCTTAAACCCGTTTTGCAACATACTTGTAAATCCAGTTTTATCTCAGTTTTTCATAACGCCGCATGATTATAAAGAAGAAAATTTCAGACTAGTCCAAATAAACGCCGATTTAGAGCGTTAATCGCCTCAGTAACGCGTCAAACAACTTTTAACGCCAATCCCCCTGGTCGTATTTATGGCCCAAGCGATCATCTTCTCGCGGTCAAGGTTCAAAAACGCATGAAACGACAAAATTAGAGCACATAGTGTCAATGTCAATATCCGGGCTAGCAGGAAAATGGGACGTTTGCTGCGATTTATCGCCGGTATCAGACATTTATACTGTATATACGGCCGGTCTCCAAGGTTCAGACTTCAGTGAGCCTAAAATATCTTCCAAACTAGTAAACGTAGCTCAATGAAACTTTGCACACGTGTTCAATAGGACCTTTCTGTGATGTTTATGTCGTGATCATTTTTTAGATTTCGCCTTCTTTTGCTAGTTACGGAACAGCAATACGGACCACAATTCGCAGTGAGTCAGCTGCCTAATATGTACTCTATCGAGTCTATCCTACTGTACAGGATTTGAACGAAACTTCGAATCTGCATGCATAACCACCAATCAGTGATGTATGAGTCGCGAGAATTTTTTCACTGTCGCCTTCGTTTGCGAGATATCCAGCTGTTATACTGCGAAGCGATCGGCATTGCTGTGGTCGATAGTCAAATTTGCAGTGAAGCGGGTAGCCTATGACTGCCGCTCTTGGAGCCTGAGGATTAGTTAGGCGCATCACCCTTCCTTGTGCTCACGGTGCTTTTTTGTTCGTCAGCATAATAGGGCCTTAGATTTGGATTTGTTGATGTTAATCACTGCCAGTAATGTACATTGATTAAAGATTTCTCCATGTTTTTCGTTGTTATTAATATATATATTGCTGAAAGATTCGTTCCTGCTAATCGGTGTCAGCAATACAACTCTTGAGTCGTCGCTAGAATCTCGTAGCCTCTGACTATCAAGGCAAACTTGATTTTGGAAAATCAAATTTTAGCACAGGGAAGTCTATAATTTAAATTTTTACGTTCTTAATATACTTGCTAGGTAACTTTAATGCAGACCGTGTATCATTGTTTTTTTAAGATCCTATAGGACGCGCTTTTTCTCATTTCTTCGACAACAATCTGAACAGCTCACAGTGCTTCATGACCAGATCGTAGGAATCTAGTGTAGGCTAATATCATCTGCCAGGTATTTTGTTAGTCTGAATGCGGACAAGTTTCGATGCCCTTCAGCCAGTCAAAATATGTGAAGCAACTCGTGTGTAGAGAAAAATATAAAAAAATTTCTTCAATGTCAAGTTGTGAAATGTTTTTTTAGAAAAAAGATTGGTCACTTACAGAATATATACGTATATAAAATACTTACATTGGCATTAATGACGCGACTGCATGCTCAATAATAAATCACATGAATCCAGTCATGAATGTTTTAGTGACCTGTTTAGAATCCTCACTGTTGCAAAACAAGGGGGATTTTTTGACCTCATTGCGCGCATGTCAAATCCTGTTGAACAAGCTGCATCCCGTTTGTGCTCCTGACACTGCGACACTAGGGCGGCTGCAGCAACTTGTTGATGCATGTCTTGCCTTGGACACGTACCGTGTCATGAGACTTGATTCACAACAGGAAATGAGATATGTTTTATATTCCACTTATATAGCCATTAATGACGTGTTCTGCTACATAGTTACTTTCACTTTCTGGAAACCTGCGTTATTCAGTATTTGTTCGGCGAATTATCCACTTTCATGTAAAACTTTCACTGAAACTGGAAGGGATCTGCCGTTTCAGCGAGCTAGGAAAGTTGCCAAATTTAGCTGTTTGGAAGCTTCCTGCAATTAATAATTTAAGAAGAAGTTAGAGGGCGACGATAAGAGCTGCATGACAGAAAAAAAGCGGCTGCCTGCTGAAGTGGAATGGATCTGACACTCGTCGCTTCCTGCAGCTTTCGCCTCCGCTTTGTTTCGGGAATCAGGATTAGCGTAGTGGAATTTTCCTTTGTATTCTGGATGTGTGTTTAGGGCCATTTACTGATGAGGCGTCGACACCAGATTTGATGCTCCAAATTAGAATTCAGATTGAGTTTTTTTTTTTTTTTTGCTTTAGAATCTTTTTTGAAAATCCTGATCGTCGGAAAAATGGTTAGTATATCTGACCCATAAGTCGAAACAATTCGTTGGCTTCATTTTCTTTCATTTATATGTTCTTTATTTGCCCCTAATTCATTATTTTAATCATTTCTTGGTTTATAAGTTGTATCTGCGGGTAACGTTCAACTCAAAATAAATGCAATTTTTTCATTTTAAAACTTTAGATTCAATGAATTTTTCATCTCCGGAATAAGGCTCCCAATTTGAACTGGGAGTAAGGGCTCTTTCAATTTAACCCTTTGTTTACGGATACATTTACTGTCGTCAAGGATATTCATACCTGATGGCTTTGTAACGAGAGGTCCTATCAGTACTCTAAGGGTTTAATCTTACGAGTTGTGATCATTGTATTTATCAGGTCTATCCAAGGAGCCACTCCAGATCTTATTTGTGCAACTGTATTGAAGAAATAATTCATTTGTCGTTCTTAAAGGAATGTCACACCGAAAGCCATCATTGACGTCTTGAATGTGAATGGTGCATGGGTACATTACTGAAGAGCGTTTCATCAGTATACTTGACAAATTAACTTCTTTGGTGGACATTGAACGCTATTCCTTCTCGGTCCTCGTAAATTTTTAGTAGGCCATGACGTTTGTTTTACAAGTAACTGGTCTACGGCACTCCTGACGAAAGTCGTTTAATGCTTGCACAATACAGTACTGACGTCCATCGAGCGAACGTCATCACCTCAGAAGGGTGTTGGGTTTAAAATAGAATATAGTGACAAGAGAGGCCTAGCAATTATCTATCAGTAAACTATCAATGTAGGCTTATCAAAATCGAAGACGTTACTCTATTTTTAAGCTTGCGTTGCGTACTGCCGATGTCGTCTGCTAGTCTACCGTAGCTGACACTTGTATATTTTATATCTAGTCAAGTAACGTGTCCCCATCAGTCGCTGCTCAGCCTCTTGAGCTGAAATTGAAGTTGAACGTTTTTCCTTCCGGCGTTCCGGGAACTGACTGAAGCACTTCCTTGAACCTCCACGCATCATTAGTAGTTTTAAAGTTGTAACTCTTTCGACAGTCCGTTCTAGTTTGTTTCTGACATCCTTCTGCATTGCTTACATTTAATCATCATTATCGATTCTTTCATCAACAGAGTAAAAATTGATGTAACTAATTTTTCTTTTGAGGAAACATTAGTGGGTGTGTTACAACGTTATTTTCCGCCTTGACTTGGCCTTGACCAACCCTTTTCCTGTTGACGCAGTAGCCTCACTTCCCTGATTCTCCCCACAATACAACCCTTGACGCTTAACCCTTGACAATTAACCCTTGACACTTAACTCTTGACACATAACCCTTGACACTTGACCCTTGTCAATTAACCATTGACACATAACCCTTGTCACTTAACACTTGTCACGTAACCCTTGACACATAACCCTTGACACTTAACCCTTGTCACTTAGCCCTTGACACATAACCCTTGTCACTTAACACTTGTCACGTAACCCTTGACACATAACCCTTGTCAATTAACCATTGACACTCAACCCTTGACAACCATGACATTAATCCTAGTATAATATAACCCTAGGATACAGGAAATGCCAACATAGCTCGGTAAATAGGATACAGCCCTAGGATGCCTGCATCTCATCACTAATATTGTTTGTGTGCAGGAGCGACATGCGCCTAAGACTGGGTTGGTTGAGACGCAAAGGAGACGGTCAAGCGGCCAGTGTACGGCCCATGCCTGAGGAGGCTCAGTCCTGGGCCAAAAGTTTCCACGCACTCATGGAGTCGAAGTGTGAGTAGAAAACTAATAGATTTTACCGTGATGAACAAGAGTTTATTTCTTTAAGTTGTTATGCGTTCATATTGATCGTTGCAATGAGCAATTTTGCTCTCATTGTACGTTTGTTTGTGTACTATGCAGTTCAGGATTTTTATTGAAGAGTGAGGCCGGCTCCTCAATTTATTGTAGGAGTAATGTTCCAAGAAAGACCATTAATTCATGTCGCTTTTCAAAAAAAAACTCATTCATCTGAAATCTTAGTCAGCTTAAATATATTCGTCATTAAAATAGATAATGATGTATTTTACATATATCATTATGATATATATAAAATGAATGGAATGGGAATGATGTATGTAATGATACATACATCATTCCCATTTTCTATAGAATGGCGTCTTCCAGCGATATCGTTACGTAAACTCAAACTGTTTCATCTTGAACTCACTCCTTTTTATTCTTCTAATCTCAATTCCTCGTGACGCCATGACTTTTCAAGCTTGAATTCCTGACCAAAATGCGCGTCTGTTTTGCTGGCATTTAACCCGACGGCAGTTCCGTGAGCAGCACACGCGCCTGTGCCCATAAACATGTTCATGGGGCGACCGGGCTTGCGAGGGTAAAATCCCCGACAGATCTTCCCCTGGCGTCTCGAATTCGTTCAAAATAATTCCCACTGATTAATAAGCGCAACTGAGGCTCGTACGTCGCGCTCGACTGCCTGCTTTTGACCCGAGTTTGATGCGTTGTTGGGTCTGCCAGATTATACCCGTCAGTCTTTATTTATTGGGACTTGAAATTGGTTCCTGTAGAGATCCAATTATAGTATAATAAATGCGTCTAACTTATGCTGGGATAGTTAGGCCATCAAAATTTCAATATTCATAGTGTTTATGCGAATAAATTTGAAAGGATGAAGTATGATGTGTGATTAATTTGCATTGCTTCTTTGTTTCAGATGGACAAGCTTTGTTCCGGGCGTTCCTTCAACGTGAATTTAGCGATGAAAATGTCGAGTTTTGGTTGGCTGTTGAGGAGTACAGGAGAACGCGACCAAACAAAATGCCTGCGAAAGCATCAAAAATTCACGCCGACTATGTTGCTGTACAAGCCCCTAAGGAAGTGAGTACTCAACCTCTGCTTAACCCCTGTATAAGTTCTTTATATCCATTTAATGAGGCTTGGATTTACAACGTGTTATTGTGGCTACAAAATTTGTGATCTCAACTAACGTTCTACTCTATCGTTTGAAATTTCTGTGTTGTTTGATGGCAGCGGTAATTAAAGTTAAAAAAAAAACGAAAATATCTCCATTCCAATGAGTTTGCTAAGTCAATCAAGTACATGTATAGCGTATAAATCGTTCGTACAAGTTTTCTTGATCACAAGTTGCTAGATGCGGTATGTGTTTGTTCCACACTGTTTGTCAGTGAGCTCGATTCATTGCTTAAAGTATATTCATGTGATGAATGTGCGTGTGATGAATGTGCGTGTGATGAATGCTGCTCATCCTTGACTCAGTGGACATTGCATCGTCATCGAGAACTGTCCTCGTTTCTAAGTGGTGCCTTGAACTAAGAATAAATCCTTAGCAGTGATGTTGGTGATTTTTCACCCGCGCTGTGCTGTTTTTAAGATGAACAATCGAGCGTCAAAATACAACAAATAATTATATAATTCCAATGTTTTTAATGTTTTGAAATTTGCGTTGTTTATCTCTATTAGCGTAGGTAATCATGTCCAAGTCCAGTCACATATATTGATAAGAAGGAAAGATCTGTTGCACTGCTCAGGTCTACATCGTCTATATAATCCACCAGACTAAATAATCGCGTCTGTGTGGTATTTTGAGGAGAGAAGATTACTTCTTTAGTGATAAGAGCTTTTCTTGACGTCATTCGCTTGTACGTGTTCTGCATGATAAGCTAATGTGGTTCGTTAAAATGACTGTTTTTGTGTGCGTTTGTCATGCAACTTAGTATTTGTAATTTTGAAAATGGAACTCCCTCGGATTGCTGTTTGATGGTGTGGAGAATGATTGAAATTAAAAATTAAATCTTGCTGATTTTTTACCCGAAGGCCGAAGTGCTTTTTACATCATGAGAGCAAATCGTTCTTAATTAAAAATTAATATTAAAATTGAATAATGAGCATATAAATTACTTTGTATGTTAGTTTCAATGCTAGGTGAAGTTATCTTGAAAATTCATTTACTTTTTGGGCTTCCTCAAGGAGCCTATTATCACGGCGAGGTAGTTTCCCACTCCGACTTCTGTAACCCGAGTCTAGTCAGTAGTACAGGGAAGAAGGACGAGCATGTGGAGGCAATAACCTCATGAACTCCAAAAAATTGTGCATAAATACTGCCAACTGGCGATTAGTTGGCCGCCAGCGTCCCTGCCATGTCATTTGCCTCAGCGGTTTTAGTAGTCTTGTCGTGGTGTCATTTGACAGCGCTTGCCGCATGAATTAGGATGACCCCGCCAGACGCGTTCTACTACTGACGTCATTAGTCATTTCGCTCAATGACTGGCAACTTCTTGAATAAAAACAGTTAGAAGATACCTTTCTTGCCCGGAGTATTTGTGGTCAGTCGAAGAACAGCTCCGTTGCTCGGAATAATTTCACATTTATCCATGTTAATTAACTTAATTTGTACGTTTGTAATTTGTATAGCCAGTTGCTGGATTCTAATTGCACATGCATGACTTCTCCGGTTCGTACAAGTTTTGGCGCTCATTTGTCTGCATCGAAATAATAGAAAAGATTGTGAGAATAAGGCTACTAATTTCAAATTAAGTGGCGTTCTTATGCAGGCTTATCGCGTGGATGCGATATGCATCCTCCGCTGACATATGCTGCCACGGCGTGGCGCTCGTGCATCCGGCGAATGCGCCGAACCGGTTCGTTCTGACTAAACTTTTAGGAATTGTATCCTCCAGAATATGAGTTAAGAGAATATTATTCATGGCATTACTTTCTTGCGCGTAATTTCGGAGAATAGTTCATAGTGAGCCATGTATCCATTTTTAATTATCGCAAGATTGTTTGATTGTAGTAATCAGCAAATATTATGTACTCTCAGTGCACCGGTGGTCACTTTGGTAAAGGATGCAAGTTATCTACTCAAAAAGCTTTTCCGCAACCATCAGCATGGAAAAGATCTATCCGTTGACTTCATTTTATAACTAAATACGATAAGCGGGGCTTTTAATTGAATTGCATGCCAACAAATTTATGAATTTTCCCGTAGCATTTACGATGAGTAAATCATAAGCTCTAATATCCGCTCGGCTGCAAGCAACTGAGAGTAAATTGAACGTCCTGTGCTTCCTCATGCGTCCTTTTTATCCTCGAGGTCGCGTGACAGAAGGGGGCGGTCCGAGCGTGTTTACGGATGCGTGGTGTGTAGGTTACCTCGGATTGTTTAGCGACATAAGCGATGCCTTTGAAATCCGTAGCCCTTGTGATGGTTTGTTGAATGTCTTTTGTCGGCACTGCAACCGAGTACATTGACCCTGGTCTGTTTTGAGTTTCTGACTTTGTTCTCGAGTTCAGTGATTCTTCTCTGCTGATATCAAAAAGGGTATGGACCTTTTGATTTAGTGTTTTCAATTTTTCATCAATTCTGTGTCGTTATTTTATTTTTTTTTCAAATTTCTGTATTTTCTCGTCAAAAATATTGACATTTTCTTCAACACCCATCGAACTTCGTCGCATTAAACCAATCATCTGAAGTCCTAAAAATAGTCCTGTTTTTACACGTAATACGTACCTTCAAACATTAACGTATATTCGTCATTTCTTGTCTCAGGTTTCCACAAGATCATTAATGTCACTTACGTTATTCCTATCCGATATTCCCGGCGGCCTCGTACCACTTTAGCCACTCGCGAGTCATCCGGCCGGAACCATCGTGTCGAATGCGCCGTGTTCGTTTCTACGCATGCGCGTTTGTTTGCACGCAAATTTGAAGTTCCATTAATGTCGTTATTTGGTGCTTGTTCGACAAATAATTCAGCTTATAATTTGTTGAGATTAAATTCTGAGCAATGTTAATATATCGCCACTAACCTGTAGCTTGCACACTATAACGAACTATGGATTGTTTGGTTTATTGTGTACAAGTAACGGATAAAGTAAAAGAAGCAAAATGTCGTTTATATTTGAGTATTGTCTGCAAGCTTTTATGCATTTCGAAAGTTTTCTATATCATAAGATTATCAAAATCAACGTTAATCGTGGACTTTACATGTTTCTAGAATTCTGCATTACGCTTCGTCGATTCAGAACCGCAACAACGAGACATCCATGTCGCACTTCTATTATATATACTTATTAGATTGTTATGATGGCGTACGAAGGAAAGAGCTGTCAGTCATATTGACTGATGCATGATTTCATCTCACTGACTGGGACTGAATTTATTAAATCATTAAGTTTATTAAGTCTTTAAGTCCACTAGTCATCGCTGACTTGTGCATGTGTGAGTTGCTATCTTGTTTTGATTAATTCGTCTTCAGTTGCTTGGTTTAAACTCGGATATTGCGCCAAAATATTCTTTCTTATCACTTCTGTCTTTACATGGATCGCGCACCATTTTTACAAGTACATTAGCGGTGCGGAAATGCTTCCTCTCGTATATTACTTTGTGTACTCTACTCAGTTATCCTAAATAAAGCAAGTATTTTAGGAAGTTATTGTTTTCATTGCAATTTTTAGAAAAATATTGTATTTTTTGTTGACGACCGTCTTGTGCTGCGCACTGCGCAGCGGGATCGCGAGAGGAGGTCGGCATAGATAAGCTGCCTTGCATCCGCTAACTTGACAAGAATAACTACAAAATAACAAAATATCTGTTTAAAACGTACGTAAAATTTTCGAACATTTTGTTAGTGGATGCGCAAGCTAAATAAGGCAGAATCCAGACTTTTCTTTTCATGGTAAGATATTGAGGTCACCTTATGAGGCCGATACCAGATACTCGCGTCGGTCGTGTTCACCCTCGCTGCTCATGTTACGTCCTTAAAAGAATTTGCATCTCGAGTTGAGGACGTCAAAGTGATAGTTTTATAGCGATAGTTATTGTGTATTGTGGGACAAACCCGTGAGATTTATCGCGATAGTCATTGTGTATTGTGGGACAAACCATTTAGTTTTATCGCGATAGTTATTGTGTATTGTGGGACAAACCATTGAGTTTTATCGCGATAGTTATTGTGTATTGTGGGTGGGACAAACCCGTGAGTTTTATCGCGATAGTCATTGTGTATCGTAGGACAAACCACTGCACGTGATATTTTTCCGAGAAAACTCGAATCTAGCTCGTGTCTCATGGTGTCTCATTATCTCCATACCACGATAGGGATTTCCTATCATCATCTGCGCGTGCTCCAGCTTTAGAATTCCAGGCATTAACTTGTCGCGAGATCTGTTGTATAGTGACCGGTCAACACGAGGAGCTTTGTATAACACTTGTGTTACGACAGGTCGTACACGAGGTCCGTTGTATAACACTTGTATAACGACAGGTCGTACACAGGGAGCGTTGTATAACACTTGTATAACGACAGTTCGTATCACCGAAGGTCCCAGGAAGCATTAATGTAAGATTAAGACGTTCTACCTTGACCGAACTGCCCCCTCACTTGGACGCGGGCCAGAAGAGCGACATTATATCTTGGTGAGGCGGCTCCTCTAAATTATATCCCGCAGACTGCACGGCTTCTAACTTAGGCTCTTGATTAACATGTGTCGAGACAAGCTCACTCACGATTAGTCTACAAATTAGATCGGGAATATTGGCTGCGTCTTGTGACCGACAGTGAGCGTAATCTGTCTCCCGTTTAAAGCTATCTAAAGTGTCACATTACAATATTTTCCTCTAGATAAATTATTGTACTTGGGATTCCAATGTCTGGCAGTAATCTGCTATATAGTGCCTTCGGTGTAGTCCTCTCACAACATGATATGATCGTTGTTAACTATAACCTATGCATGCATTCATATTTTTAAATTTTATGGCCATAGTAATCATGGTAATTTTCTTCTGAAGTTTCTTGAGTCAGCGGAAGCCATAAGTTGTATGAAGCTTGGCTACGCGCATGCATGCACCGGACACATAAATCAGCGTCGCGAGATCAGTGTTGCGGAATGAATCATGTGACTCCGGCTTCATGAATATACACTTTCCTGTATGCAGAGTACTATTTGGCAGCATGAGACTATGATATTCTGAATTATAATTTATTTTATATATGTATATATATGTCCAAGTATAATTATTATATAATTTCTATCGAATTATATTAATTCATCACTGTTTTCGTCATGCTATTACGCGTTTGCCAAAATACCAATTATTTTCCGAGTAAAAATCATAATTCAGGATTGAAAAATTACGCGGATATTTAAAATAACTTATATAGATTTGTCTCCAGTCCACTATCAAGCCTGGACTTACGTAAGATGAAAATTAGAATGCCGTTGTTTTAATTACGTATCCGCGAATCCAAGTGGCAATTTTTCTAAAAAATAATACGCATTCTGATGCCGTGAATCTCATCCGATGACGTCGCAGCGATGCTTCGTTGTGACGGTGACGTCACAGCGATTCTCGAAACACCGGTTCATGATACACGAGTCGGGGCGTCTGGGGCGGCGACAACATAATTGCTGGACCGTCTTCTCTCGTGCGTCATGTCCACACGCTGCTGCATGCACAATGCACTTGGTTGCTGGTCACACTAAAGTGATGGTATTCTCTCTCCCTTGCGACAAGCGGCATCAAGATGAGCTATACTTCGTGCACTGGGTGCAAAATTTATTGTTGCCTCGGATATTGTTAAAGGGCGTCGGCGCGGCGCTTCGTGCAAGAGATTATCGACTCGGTGAACGGCCTTGAGTTGAAGAAGATGCGGCGGCAGCTGAATTGTGTATGCGGCATCGCTTATGGCGGACATTATACGAACCTTTAAATGATATTTAATTGGCTAAAACATTGTAAACACCAAGCACCGATGTATAGATTAATTGAAGGAAACGCCATTCTCTAGAAGCGCGTTCACGTAAGCGCTGACGTGCCACGACTTCCGCTAAGAACTGCGCGACACCAGACGCGAAAACCAAAGACTTCCTTACACGACATCGGGACGGGCAAGGTCCGGGTATTGCTATACTTTGTTGGGTGTTTGTACGTTGTGTTGACATCTCTTCCCGTGAACTGAACGTACACGATTGCTATGCTTCTACTCATGTCTGAGATTGCAATTTGCTCAATGTTTGCAGGAATATATCGCGTTACGGGACTAGCTGACTTGCTCCTACGTTATTTAGCTTAATTCATTGCACATCGTGCAGTGAGCAAGGAGTGTCGTATAGATTGTCCCCATATTATATCGTGCCTGAATGCTTAATAACACGGATTCACATTGGCGGATTTCGCATTACCGTAAACCGTGACCGGTGTCAGGCATCACTTACATATGATTTATCAAATCAACCCAATGCGACTCTCGCTTTATTTTCAACGAGAAATTTCAGACCAGAACAATGATATTCACTCTGATTTCACTACGTTGTGTCCGAGGGCTGTTTCTCTTCATTTTTTCTTTCTTTCTAAATTTCAGTCACCATTGAAACGTGCAACACGTGTCAGTAAAATTGTATCTAGAATTGACGTTTGTGGTACTAAATCGGGCCATAATATTAATAAATGCAATCCACGCCGCTTCTTTGCGACGAGTACACACGTGATCTGAAACCACTGAACTTTTCTGCTTTTTTTTTAGTAACCAATACACACATTTTCTGAAGACCTGAAATTTTAGGATCTTGCAGGTTCCTGGCAGTATTGAAAAGAGATCACCACTGTCATCTTATTGTCAGCGTTACCTAAAGCCTCTCAATGACAATGTTTTCTATTTTCGCTGCCGGCTTTTATGCGGTGAATTCTCAGAGCCACGTGCCACCACTTCTTTATTGTGTGGTCATCCCTTCCGGGCACGTCGGTGAGAAAACTAATGTGAACTATTAGTTTATTGCCGACAAAGGTATTGCGATAGAAATCGTTCAAAACTAATGTGAACTATTAGTTTATTGTCGTTGAAGGTATTGCGATGTAAAGCATTCAAAACTAATGTGAACTATTAGTTTGTCGTTGAAGGTTTTACGATGTGAAGGCGTTCAAAACTCATGTGAATTATTAGTTTATTATTGTTGAAGGTATTGCGATGTGAAGCGTTCAAAACTAATGTGAACTATTAGTTTATTATCGTTGAAGGTATTGCGATGTAAAGCGTTCAAAACTAATGTGAACTATTAGTTTGTCGTTGAAGGTATTGCGATGTAAAGCGTTCAAAACTAATGTGAACTATTAGTTTGTCGTTGAAGGTATTGCGATGTGAAGCGTTCAAAACTAATGTGAACTATTAGTTTATTATCGTTGAAGGTATTGCCATGTGAAGCGTTCAAAACTAATGTGAACTATTAGTTTATTGTCGTTGAAGGTTTTACGATGTGAAGCGTTCAAAACTAATGTGAAATAATAGTTTATTGCCGACGAAGATATTATGATGTGTAGTTTATTGCCGACGAAGATATTATGATGTGTAGCGTTCAACAACACGGAACTTCATTCTCATTCGAGTTCGCGGCTTTGTATGTTTACCTTTATAGATAGAAAATTTTTGATTTGCTGTCTAATAAGGTATGTGTAAGATCAATAATTCTACCCGAAAGTCGTATCAAAACACATAAAAACTCAAAATTGCGATGAAAGAAATATTTTAACTCGTATCAAGGTTTTTTTCCTTTAATTTTCAGTTATGCTTTAACTAGATATTGGCTTTAAAGCAGACCTGCGCGCCTCAGTCGTACTGGCCCTCAGCTTTAAATTGCAGTCCGCGTTTGCGTATAACAAACATATCAACACGTGCTACCACCCGGTTCGCAGAATCTCGATATTAATATCAATAACATGTTATCCATTATCGCCCGAGTCGTTCATATTTTAGATACAACTAACTTTATACTGACTTATATTAAGATCTTTTTATTTAAAGATTGACTCATGCCATAATTCATGGTCTGTTTGGTGCATGACCTCGTACATAGTAGACATGCTTCTCCATTCTTTTCTTTGCCTCTGACAAAGAACGTCCTGGCATCTTTATAAGTTCAATAAACCGGGAGTTCTCATTTGCATGAATAGACTTGGTCGTGTACATCGTAATTGTGGTTCCATCTTCTTTATTATGTTGAGTTATTAGGATGCAGTTTCCTATACTCAAAGTTTCATTTCTTCTTCCCCAGATAAACCTGGACCCCGCAACACGTAACGTCATTGCAGAGAATCTCAACAGCGCCGACAAGACCATATTCGACGTCGCCCAGAAGAGGATACAGACCATCATGGAGTCTGATTCCTATAGCAGATTTTTGCAAAGTGAACTATATCGGGAATTGCTAAATCCGGTTCCAGATTCTTCCACAGTAACATATTAATTAGATTTTTCTCTTTCACATTATCTATATTTGAAAGTCTATTTGTATGAAATATTATAAGGCTGGAGAGCATGATTTAGCATCAAGGTACATCGCAGCGAGTGCTCCACCACACTGCAGCTTGTGTTTACAACACTACCAAAGAAGCGGAAGAATCGCGTCAAGGAAATATCTCTCAGAAAATTAAATACTTTTGCGATCATCAAGCTTCCCAGTGAAAGTGTACAGTTGTACATAAAAATCCTTTTAATAGTTTGATACCTATTTATAAGCCTATAATAATTTGTTACTAGTTTTAGAAAACCTAGAGTCATTCATCTTCATAGGAGCTATCAACTGCTCTTCCCTTCGAATCCCTTCCTGGCCGCTGACAGAGGTTAGATGCAATCTATGGCTACGTTGGAATCCTAATGGTTCAATTAAAACAGAAAATTCATTCGTATGTCAATAATTATAGTATGTTAATTTAAATCATGTATAATTATTGTCCGATCGGTTTCATATTTTGAGTAGATAAAAACATTACGTTTTGTGGCGGGGGGTGTGTGACGAAGGTGACAGCGATGTGACTGTAGGCGGCACTCCTCAGAACTTGTTCGGCCTGCATAAGATCCTGTCGTCTGACTCATGCGCCAATCTGAAGGAACTTTTACTCCCAGAATTCAGAGGTTTGGCTTAAGATGCTAGGCGTGTGCATGATCTCTGAAGTCTCGTACGACTGCAATCCCTTTGGAGCTTCCGGTGTCCTCCACTCCAGTCATCTACTGATGATCTTTATACTGTCGCAGTGGTTATGATCCTATCATATTACTGATGATTATGTAACAGTAATGATGATCATGTCACGGTAATCATTATCATGTCATAATTATCATTTTATTTTCAGGTCACGGTAATTACGATCACGTTACAGTAATTTACTTCCGCTCATAGTAATCTTGATTTTTTATTAACAACAGCCAGAAACCGTCACAGATTTGGCAGGGTTGTTTCATGACCATCATCGTCACCTTGCAATTCAAGCTAGCTAGCCTTTACTATTTACCCTGTATCTCATTTACATTTAAATCCCACCAACCATTATTGTTGTTCTTGTAGCACCCAAAACCTGCCTTCCGTACCGCAGTAACCCGTTAACCCTTGCGAAACTTCAGCGCTTTTGAACGTTCATTCTCGCCCGATTGCCAGACGAAATGTTCATGTTCAACTATTTTTCAGTGGCACCTTAAAATAATCAATATTTTTCATATTTAGTTTATAATAAATTGTATTTAATGGTGTGTGCAGCACTTTGGTTGGTTAGATAACGTTTTAATAATTTTTTTTAATTCATTCGCTCGCTAAAATCATTACTTCTGTTCATTTCACTTTATTCTAGTCATTATCCGTTTACAGAGATAGGAATACTTATTTTAATCGTCTTTTCTAAATTAAAACTTCGTCTAATTGTGTCCGTGTTCAGTTCGTTCAGGCAGTGACATCTTGATGTTTTAATGTGATATTTATTGCGAGAGACGGTGTATGATGATTTTCGTGTCAATGATACGATATCGTTTTTTCAGAATTGACGAATTACTGAATGTTACAATGAAGTTTTTAGACTGGATTGCGTAAATTTTCAATTTGTGTCAGTGTTTAGCTCCATGAAGCAGGTTCGCTTTTCTACACAGTATTAAGTTCTCGAATATGTTCGTATGCGCTGTGATGACCACTGAATTGATATTTTATTTATCATATTCTCCTCTAAATTAATATTTATTTATGCTATTAACCACTAAATTAATACTGAAATCATCAAATTAATTTAATGTTTATCACAAAAATTTTACTTGTATCGTGTGTATTCTTAAATGCAGTGTCAACCATGATGTTGAAATAGAGTTGATGAATTTTATGCTATTGAAAAAATAACTTCTACCTGAATTCTGACTGAGCTGACAATCGTTCCTGAGTTCTAATGTGACGCTTGCCAGAACTCGCGTGTCAAATACACTTGATACACACATTTATGTTATGTTGATTTCGTGTATGCTGTTGATATGACTGCGCGATCTCGCACGGAAAATGCATTGCGTACGCGATAGAAATTGCAAAGGAAGCACCAACTTATGTGGGAAAAAATTACAAACTAAAACTAATGGCAAGACTTGCCTAGCCCCATGACACCTGGCATCGCCTAGCCCCAAAATGAAGGCATCCGAAGATCGGCCAGGATATAGAGAAGAGATTTCCGTTAAGAGAGTGAAGAGAAGCAAGTTGAAGAAATGGAAAGACAGCAAGAGCACTTGAAAACCTCGTTTAAAATTACGCTTAACATATTGAACCGACAAATAAAGGCCGTGATTGACACCGGGAGTACGAACAGTATTATGACATCGGCAATAGTGAAAAATTATAGTATGCTGTTATCTCGTGTATGCTGTTGATAACGACTGCGCGATCTCGTGTATGCTGTTGATAACGACTGCGCGATCTCGTGTGTGCTGTCGATAACGACTGCATGATCTCAGGTTTACTATTTTTTTTGTTCGATTCGTTTTAATAATGGTCATTCGTCTAATATATTCGTTGATATCTTATTTATTGCCTAAAATATTATTGTTTTCAATCGCTAGCATGTGTTGCGCATTCCTTAACAAATTCATTCCACCTCTAAGAGGTTATCATGTATCCAATATTGTGATGTTATGAACTACAGACTTACTTAATTCAATAAAATGTATAGAATATAACACTTTCTACTTTTTATCCTTAATTGAAAGCACAGAAGAAAGAACTAGTTTAGTCGTGTTTGCTGGACTTGCATATGGTTCACATTATTAGGTCTTGGCAAACCTAATGACACTTCATATCATTCTTGACTTGCATAATTTTTAATTGATATTTTATATAGGTTAATTGCGTTAATTGAAGCAATTTACTATATTGTCTCTTGATGATGCGTTGACACAAATGCTTTCAAAATTATTAAATGGTGTGTGAATGCTGGTGTGTATTTTGCTTAGGGTCTGCGAAAAATAATAAACTCGCATTTCATAGCGACGCGCCTGCCTCCAACAGTATATCTCTCTTCATACAAACGTTCTCTACCCATTCATTTATTTCTGCGAAACTTGCGACTGTCGATGATATCGACAATCCACCAAGTCCTAAGAACCTAAATTAAGCGAATGTAACGAAATTTTCTGATATACATTCGAATATACCGTGATGCTATATCCTTTCTGCGCTTCTGCTGCGTGATCATATGTGTCATCCATCGTACATGTAATGATATGCCTTCCCAGTACTGACAACTCCAGGAAGTGTGGGTTCATCATATTGTTCACTGCGAGTTTGTTGTCTGATGAAACGGGTAACTCATGCAGGCAACGTTTTAATGTGTGTGAGAGGACAGATCCTTGAGGGACCCAACACAGAATGCTCTTCTTTTGCGACGGCTTGCTTCTATCAAGTACGAATAGCTGTCTTTCTCTAGGACAGCTCGCAACCCAGCGTGTTGTGTTGGTACGTAGCCTGCAGGCTGGTATTAATCGAATGAAGAGCGAGCGCGTAATGATAAAAACTGACCTAACAAACAAATTCCAGTGGAATGGCAGGGTGGCTCAGTTGTTACAGTTCAGAGTATCAAGATTAGAGCAGAGAGTTAGGAGTTCGATCTCAGCTACCTGCGATAGCTCTGGTCAGAATCGTCGTGAAGGTCGGGCGGTTAAGCTCATAAAAATTAGATCAGTGATTTCCGTGTTCGAGACCGCAACAAGCTGAGAATGAGAATGTTCTGCCATGTGAAAAATCGGCAAACTGTCTTAACGGTTTTCCTAACGCTGAAAACGCTGTTAAGTGTGGGATGCCCTTAGATCAAGGTGTTATGTTCACTTGTTTTATCGCTTCATAATCTGGGCAAATATGCAGGAAGGGCATAGACCGGCAAACCGGGCGGTATTCAATGGATCTCGTAATAAGAGGCTTGCCAGCATGTCAGAAGACAACACCATAGACATAAAAAACGGCCTTGTATATATTAACAGTTACCTCTAAGAAGTTATGCATTCTGTGGGAATCTATTTGTGCGTATTTATTTGTTATATTTTTTTAACATGAGTAGCTCATTGACTATCGATGGCGTGCAGAGAAAGGTGATAGGTCAGCAAGAATCTGACTCAGTGGTAGGAATGCTATATACTAATTGTGCTGAAGCGGATGGGGCCAATATATGAACGTCATATGGATTGAATGGCAAACTACTCAAATAATGTATTGATTTTATCAATAAGCTACTTGTGATTGACTATTCTACTTCTACATGCCGATACCTAGGACAGTGATGGTCACGGTGTAACTCGTCTTTTTGCAATCCGCGTTACAGGATTGACAAAAATTATGGTTTGTTATGTTAAGGACATCCCATGTTGGCTTGTCGTATAGAATGAATAGAATAGAAGCGTCGGCGTTGAAGAAATAGGATAGGCCCATGGCCTGTTGCCGATTCTTGAACTTTTCGTGACTTGATTCACAGGGGATCCGGCCTTTGGAACCCGATCT